CATAACAACAAAACTGTCAGATCAGATCTGACTGGTACAGGATGAGATTGCCCCCTCCTTCTCCAGCAGAGCATCTTATTAATTTCTTTTAGTGGTTTGTTGAAAAGCTCCAAGGTCAATGGTGGATCTGACAGTAAAGACCACGCTGGTGTCCAGACTGTGACTCAACTCTCCTACTAAAAGGCCTCGGGCCTCTTCCGGGAGCTGGCCGCTACCCACAGGTCAGCGCAGAAGGTGGCGGCCCCCTCCCACAGAATGTCCCCCTGGGCCGACTGCAGGATTACCTGGCAGCATAGGACAGAGAGTCACGCAAGTAACCTGAAGGTCAGTGGTTCAAGCCCATCAACAGGTCCACGGGAGAAAAAAGGGCAGGCTCCTTCTGGAAGGACTTATAGCCTCTGACCCCATGGAGGGTCACCAGGGCTTAGGATCAACTGACGGCTGTAAGTCACAGGGGACAGCTGACAAGACCAGTGGCGGTGTCACCTAGGAAACCCGGGCTGTGAGCCTCCTACATCACCAACGTCCAGGTGTCTTCAACCAAAGAATGTTAGGAAGAGAGGGGAGGCTGGGAGGGAGGGCATGGAGGGGTGGTGGTGAGGGAGGAGAGAGAGGCGAGAGAGGCCCACAGAATGAGGGAGACGCCTCAACAGGCCGCAAGCGTGCACTGTGTTCAGTCCCCGTAAAGGACCCTGGTGGCGCTGCAGAGCAAGCGCTGGGTGGCTGCTCCCCTCCACCCCACAGCATCACCGTGAGACGCAGCCACTGGACAGCAGCGGGCAGTGGGTGACAAATGCAGACACTGGGGATCTGACCGCCAACTCAATGACATTAATGGGGCTCTGGTGGTGCAGCGGACTAAGTGTTGGGCTGCCAGCCCAGGGGCCGCTGAGTGAAGCCATCGGCCCCACAAAGAACACCGTGGAAGGCAGCTTCCGTGAGGATTCAGGCCGTGGGCACTGAGGGGCAACAGACTGTCCCAGCGCAGCTCCGGGCCACAAGTGACCTGCTGGCCGCGGCTTTGAAGATGCTGACTTTTCAGAAAGGATCCGGGACTTCCTGTCTGTTCCCCTCACGAGACCCCATCCTGAGTGACAGACTCAAGGATCCTGTCCAGTGGGGTGACAAGGAGTCTGGGTCTTCCCTCCCTGGAACACAGAGGCAGAGGGACCAGACGGACCATGAGCTAGTGACCATGGACGTGGGTCAAGTCCACAGGCATGATACACTGCTCTGCCTCTTTTGCATGTTGGAAATTGTCTACGTTGACATTTCCAAAGCCATTTACACGGTGAAACACTGGTCCTGATGACCAGGGGCATCCCTCTGTCCACGGGGGCCCTTGGCAACACACTGACTTCTCGGTGCCCACCACAGGCTGGCTTCCAGCTTGGCCACCTGCAGACCCTAGCAAAGGACAGTGGTGGCCGAGCGGGATCTCGGTCTGTTCTCTGGACAGGAGACGGGTGGAGAGCTGCCTCGTGAGTGACCTGGGCTGGTCTCCAGCCCCAGCCCCACCCGACCCACGGCCTGCTCCTCGCCCTCCGTCCACCACATCCTGGTCATCAGTGGGGTCATCGGCCCTCACAGGGCTGCTGAGAGGACCACACGCGGTAATACTATTACAGAGCCCTCGGCACAGGGGCTCCTGGGAGTCCCTCCCTCCTCGATCACAAGGAAGACACCCGTGGGGTTTACCGGAGAGTGGCTGCCGAGGGGGACGGTCAGTGTGCAGGAGGGTGGGACCACAGCTGGAGGTGCTGACTCCGGCCGCCACTGGCCGGAGGGTCCTCACCGGGTCTGTCGATTTACATCCTGGGCCCACATCTGACAGGACACATGATCTCCTCTGGTGACCGCCATCTCCGTCCAGGGGCAGAGGCCAAGCTCAGGGCGTCACAGGGTCGTCAGAGCGCTCCTGGCCTGTCCAGCTTCTGGAGCCCTGTGCTGGCCTGGATTCTCAGAATCGTAGATGGACCCTCTCCCACGTGTCCCTCTGTCTGTCCTTCCCTGTTGTTGTTGTTGTGGGCCTTCAAGCCAGAACCGACCCACAACTGACCCTCGGGTGGGTTTTCAGAGCCCGTGAACTGCACCGGAGGAGACTGCCCATCCGTCTCCCATGGAGCAGCTGGTGGATTTGAACTTTGTGCCTTCAGGATTGCGGCGCAGCTTCTTGCCACTAGGCCACCAGAGCTCCTTACGTGCCCTTCCGTACGTGTGACTAGTCCTCTGTTCTGTTCTAATACATCACTCAGAAGACTCACTCTACTCCGGTACAGCCTCGCTGACGGACCACGTTTGCAAAGCCTGACTCTTCGGGAAGGTGCCTCGTCACCACCAACACAGCAGCAGCAGCGTGGACGGCATCTTTCTGGACCTGGGCCCCAGCACAACAAAGCTCCCTGACACCCCAGGAGGACAGAACACCTGGAGGTCTGCAGGGAAGGCCAGGCCTCCCGACGCCAAAGACGACAAGGGGCCTCCTCCACTCCCGACAGAGAGGGGACCTCCGTCCTGCACCCTGAGCGGGAATACCAGCCCCTGAACTGTCACTGCTCCATCACCTCGTGCCAGCTCCCCTGGTGTCACCCCATTTGTCCACCCTGCCGTCACCCCCTTGCCAGCTCCTCTGTCACCCCCATGTGCTCACCCTGCCATCACCCCCTGTGCCAGTTTCCCTGGCTGTCACCTGTGTGTCCACCCTGCTTTCACCCCCTGTGCCCCTGGCTGTCACCCCATGTGCACACCCTGCCATCACCCGTGTGCCCACCCTGCTTTCACCCCCTGTGCCCCTGGCTGTCACCCCATGTGCACACCCTGCCATCACCCTCATGTGCCACCCTTCCATCACCCGTGTGCCCACCCTGCTGTCACCCCCTGTGCCCCTGGCTGTCACCTCGTGTGCCCACCCTGCCATCACCCGTGTGTCCACCGTCCCCCCGTGCCGGCTCCCCTGGCCGTCAGCACGCAGGGCACAGGTAAAGGATAAACAACTGTGGTCAGCACATCAAGCACGGCTGTGATGCTGCAGGAGTTGCTCTGCTCAGGATAAACCGAGGGTGGGGGACAGGGGAGGGAGTGCACCTCGAGTTCAGAGGGGGAGCAAGGGGAGAAGCTGGAGGGGGTGGAGCACAGAAAGGGTAAGAGAAGGGGGGCTGGTACAGAGGAGGGGAGAGAGAATCAGAGCGGAGAGGAGTCGGTGGGGGTGCAGGGCCCTGAGAACCTGCTCAGGGTGGTCTCGGCATCTCCGCACGGCCTGAGAGCTGGGTACTCAGCGCCAAGGGCTGGGCACTCATTTCAGGAGATGTGAGCCCAGCAACCATGTGGCCAGGCAAGGATGTGACGTGAGGACACGTTCAGCACCTGTGACACCTGACAGAGCTATGACGGAGGGGAGGTAAAGTGAGGACACGCTCAGCACCTGTGACCCCGACAGGAGCCACGGTGGAGGGGCATCTGTCCAGCAGGGCCTGGTACATCATGCCTTCCGGCTCGGCCACCGTGCCTGTGGACAGCACACCTGGGGCCACATTTGAGGCTGTCCTGCATCTCCCAGAGCCATGAGCCCTGGTGGGGACACCGAAGCACCTAGAGGGCCCGTTCTGCCATGCACCCCAAATCTCCCCACCTGCGGGCCTTACCTGGAGCCAGGCGGGCACGGGGCTGCCACCTGGACCCCCAGCTCGGACTGCCTCTCCTCCTCAGCCTCCTTCTGTGGGGCCTGCACCCTGTCCTTGTTCTCCAGCTCACCTCCAACGTCACCCTCACCTGGCGGCTCGCCTCCCGGGTCCACCTGGGATGCTGAGGTGCTCACCAGGTCCTGGGGGCTGGAAGGGACTTGGGGCTCCTGCCCATCAGGCACAGAGCCGTCTTCTGGGAGTGGAGAGGCTGTGACACCTGCAGGTGGTCCCTCGGGGGTGGCCAGGCCCTTCTCCAGTCCTGGCTCGGGGCCCTTGTCCCCAGCCTTGGCCAGGCCTGTGGAGGCGGCGTCAATGACATTCTCCAGGCCACACTTCTGCAAGCGCTCCACAGCCTCGTCCCTGCTGTCCCCGCAGCTCCCACAGCACACGCACGAGTTAATGAGGCAGTTGGTGGCGGCGGGGCTGAGTTCTCTGGGACTGGGGTCCCCCTTGTCCACAGCAGGCCCCAGTGGTGAGACCTCGCTGGCCGGAGCGTCTGGTGAGGCCACGGCCGAGTCCGAGGGAGACGGTGACTTGGGGTTGAAGATGACAGTGGCTGAGAGCTTCATGCCGCCCGTGCGGTGGGCGATCATCTCTGCCGCCTCGGCGTCGTGGGCACCGGCCTCCCAGCCGTCTAGGGCCCGCGGCGCGTCCAGGCAGCTGCAGGAGTTGGGGCCTGAGAGGCCGGCCGCCCGCCTCTGGTCATCCGCCGTGTTGTTGTTTCTCGCGTCCTCATCCTTTTCCGAGGACACCTCTCGGAGCACTGCCTCCCCGTGGGTCCCTCCCTGCCCGCCGTCCAGGGGGTGGGCACGGGTGCCAGGCACCCACGCAAAAGGGCCACCCGGGGTCTCCGGCCTGCCGGGCGCTTCTGCCACCCCCTCCACGTCATCCATGAAGAACACCCTCTCCTCGTCGTCGCCCCCCGGCTCCGGCCGTATCCTGGCCGGTGAGGCCACCCCTCGCGGGCTGCCCTCGACCCCCGGCCTGTGAGCTGGGGACTGGCAGGCACTGGGCGGGGACAGGAGCGAGGACATCTCGTCGCCCGCACGGTGCACCATGCGGTTGAGCTGCTCCAGCTCCTGGTCGTCATACTGCATGGAGCAGGCCAGGTCAGCGTCGGCGTCCTTGGCCTTGCTGGGCAGGGGCTCTGCAGGCACCAGCGGGGCGGGCACCTGGGCGTCGGGTCGCAGGGGGAACTCCACGTCCTGGGATATGCAGAGGTTTCTCTCCAGCGTATGCAGCTCCTCGGCCGTGAGGGTTTGCAGCAAGTCCCTGGGAGACCGGGCAGGGGAAGAACGTGAGGTCCCCGGGCTGGAGGGGACACCCAGCCACACTGGCCAAGAACAGGCACACACCACCAAATCTGTGTCCGCAGAAGGGCGGGGGCCCTGAGCCCGTCTCCGCCCCACAGAAGCAGCCAAGGGGCAGGGCCATCCCTGGGACACCTTCCTGGCCCAGCCCAGCCGTTCCCCACCGCCGACGGCCGTTCCCCACCGCCGGACGGCCGTTCCCCACCGCTGGCTGTGCACCATGGCCGCAGGCAGGCTTCTGGGCCAGTGGGTGTTGTCAGTTGAACGTGACCCTGTGGACAGCACACCTGAGCCCTGCCCTGTCCGGTGCCGCCCTCACCACCTCTGACACACTGGAGCCCACTGCTGAGGTCAACGTTACTGCCTTAAACCCCGAGACCCTGAGCCGCCTCCATGCTGACCCTCGGCCCACCTGATCTTACGTAGCAGTGTGTGGAAGGGCCGGAACAGCTCGGACATGTCCTCCGCCCTGCGTTCCAGGTTCAGGGGTCCGTCCGCGTACACCACGAGGCCACTGCAGGCAGGACACAAAGCCCAGGTGTTAGGCTCGGCCACGAGGCCACAGGGACCAGGTGGCGGCAAGGAGAGCTATGCGCCCCCAAATCTCTCCTGTCTTTCACCTTCTTGGGGCTGAACCAGCAAGCAAGATCACAGAAGTGGAAGGAATGGTCACCCAGCTTCACCCCATCTGCTGATTTGAGGGGTCATCAAGCACCAGAGCAGTCAGGCTGCTTCCGACCCCAGTGAGCCCACAGGACAGAGCAGAAACGCCCCTCGGTTTCTGAGTATGTGAGTCCTCCTGGGAGCGGGCAGCCTCGTCTCTCTTCCGTGGAGAGGAACATCAGCCCCCAGCACCACCTTGGAGACCCACCTCAGAGAGTCACCCACGGCTCACACCCAGACCCCCACATCAGCTTCAGCACCCACTTCGGCGGGGCACCCACGGCTCACACCCGTCTTTACATGTCAGCCCCCAGCACCCACCTCAGAGAGTCACCCACGCTCACAGCGCTACTCCCATGTCAGCCCCCAGCACCCACCTCAGAGAGTCACCCACGCTCACAGCGCTACTCCCATGTCAGCCCCCAGCACCCACCTTGGAGACCCACCTCAGAGTCACCCACGGCTCACTCCCCAACCCCCACATCAGCCCCCAGCACCCAGCTCAGAGAGTAACCCACAGCTCATACCCCAGCACCCACCTCGGCGGGGCACCCACGGCTCACACTCCTGTCTTTACATGTCAGCCCCCCAGCACCCACCTTGGAGACCCACCTCAGAGTCACCCACGGCTCACTCCCCAACCCCCACATCATACCCCAGCACCCACCTCGGCGGGGCACCCACGGCTCACACTCCTGTCTTTACATGTCAGCCCCCCAGCACCCACCTTAGAGAGGCACCCACAGCTCATACCTCTAGCCCCACATCAGCCCCTACCACCTACCTCGGAGACCCATCTCAGAGACACACCACAGCTCACGCCCTACCCCCAGCTCACAGCCCCCAGCACCCACCTTGGCGGGGCACTTACAGATCACACCCCTACCCCCACGTCAGCCCCAGCACCCACCCGGGAGAGGGGCTCACAGCTCACACCTCTACCCCGCCCCAGGCCTTGAGCGGCACTGTTTCCTCCAGTGTTGCTACCCGGTGGTTAAGCTGGCACATCTGTGTGGGTTCACCTCCATCTGAGTATGCCTGGGACTGTGGGCAGCAACAAGGCAGTCCCTGGGGCACCCATCACATACCGAGTGACCCTGCCCCGCACTGCCCAGAACCTCTGCCGACCATCCCAGACCATCTCCCCATCACAGTGCCCATCCCCTGTGCCCTTCCGGTGCCTCCAGCCCAACTGAGTGCAGTCCTACTGGCACGCACGTGTGTGTGTGTGTGTGTGTGTGTGTCCACCCACCCAGTGTGTGTCCGCCCACGTAAGCATGCAGCACGCCCAAGGTGGTGAACACGGGGTGGCACCAGGTAGGTTTTGTCTGCAGCCCCTGGGGTTGCCTGAGTCAGAGACTGAGGGGCTAACAACGCGTGGAGATTCACACGTCACAGGAAAGCCAAGCTGTGTCTGGGAGCTGGCCAGCGGGGGCGAGCAGGCGAGGGTCAGGGCTGTGAGGAGGGGCAGACGGGAAGCTCCTCACAACCACCTTCTCTCCCTTCTCGGTCCATTTTACGGACCTTGTGGGCATCATAGCCTCATATAGAATCTTCTGTTTGGTGGGTAAAGAAGGTCGTCCCCGGGTCCCACGTGGCTCTAACAGTTCCACCAACCACCATTCAGAAAGATCAAAGGGGGCTCAACTATTTGGCTGGCTCTCCCTACTCAGAACAGAGAAAGGTGGGAAAAATCAAAGATGCATAGAAAACAATTAATCCAAAGGACTAATGGGCCACACGCAAGCTGCAGACACCACCACTGAGACCAGAAATACTAGATGGTGCCCGGTCACCACCACATGCTGCTTTAAACGGACCACACTAAGAGAAAAATGTGGACGAGAACAGAGAAGTCTTCTTTAAAAGACTTGACTTTGGAAACAACCCAAGTGTCCAGCAACAAACGAGTGGATAAGAGAAGCTCTGTGATATTCACACGATGGAATACTATGCAGCACTAAAAAAATAAGGAACTCATGAAATACTATGCTAAGTGGATGACCCTAGAGGACATTATGCTGAGTTAAATATCTCAGTCACAAAGGGATAAATACGGCATAGGGCCACTATTGTAAAACGGGACTGACACTGGGGTTGAGGGAAGACAGAGAAGGGGAGAAATGATGTATATTGCACTGCAACAGATGAGAGAGAGAACTGTTCAAAAGGGATATATGATTGGGTATTATTGTCAAGACAGGAGTCCAGAATGAAGGCTGCACAGTGCAGTGGACTTGGGGGGAGGGACTACATAGCAATGAACAAGTTTTTCTTTTACTTTTCAAGGAGAAAAGTGAAAAGGGGGTGGGCAGGGAGAAAAGTTCAATGGTGAATGACTGGAAACCCTAAATCTATAAACTTTCATTAAAATTAGTAAGAAGATAATTTAAAAAACCCAAACAACAACAAGACTAAACTTGCTGGTTAAACAGAGACTGGTGGAACCCTGGAGACCATGGCCCTTTGTTACCTTCACCTTGGAATGGAACAGAATTCACCCTCTGGCTCAATTTCCAGCTAAACAACTGACAAGTCCATCAGGTGGACAGCACTGGAGTGAAACACAAGTGCTAGAACGATCAACAACCCCTGGAGATCAGCAGGGCAGCACTGGCCCAAGGACAAAGCTCAGAAAGTGAGGAATTTAGGAGGGAAGGAGGAGTGGAAGCAGGAAACATACGGGCGAAGTGGGATGAGTGATGCGCCACCAGGAGGATGGCAGAGGGACAAAACCTGCCTGAGCTGCTGAGTGTGACCACCACCGTGGGATCGCTATAAACCTTCACCCGTCCACAGTCACCCAGGAAAAGGCCTGGCCGTCCTTCGGCAGAGGGCCAGTCCAGGAAACCCGCAGAGCGGCTCCTCTCATCACACACGGGATGTGAAGACGTGGAACCACCTCTAGGGCAAAGGGCTAAGGGAGGCTCAGGACAAAGGCAGACGGAAATGGACAGAAAGGGGGAAGGGGTGCGTTCCACCCCCGCTTCCCAGTAACCTCCTTCTTCAGTGGCCTCGTGCACCAGCTCCCCACACTGGACACTGGGTGCCACGTTCCCAGGGGCCGCCAAGCCACACCACCAGCTGCCTGGTCAGTGCAGAGAAAGGGGCTGGGAGACCGGACAGGCAGGTCTGGCGAGGGACCAGCACCACTCGCCTGTGACTAGGCCTTTGTTGGTCTCAGGGCAGCTGGGCCTCTGGGAAGAATGGCCGGAACGCGGCCTGCCCTGTGCGTGGGCGGCAGGGATAAGGACATCCCCTCGCTCTAACCGCATCCAGAGTCCCACCCGTCCATGTGCTGGAACATCTGGGGCGTCGCCCTGCCAGTTCACTGTTGGTTGTTAGCTGGTTCCCCAACCACCTGGGGGAGGACATGGAGAAGGCTGGCTGTCACCCCTTGGGCCAGGTGACCCTGAGGACAAGCCTGGTACAGCCAGTATTCAGGAATGCCTGCCTGGTGCCAAGTAGCCTATCTCAGGTGGTGACGGGGTGAGGGTGCCCCCAGCACAGCAGCCTGCCCGTGCCGTGGTCAGTGTCCAGGCGAACCAGCATTGAGGGGAGAGGCTCCAGGCGAGTCGAGACAATGAGGCTGTGGTGACATCCTCACAGTTAAGGCAGCCAGTCAGGGTCGTGGGCTATTGTCTTCAGTGCCAGCTGCAGGGCTTAGCCACCTGGTGCCCGAGCCGGTCAGCACTGCCCAGCTAAGCACAGGGCACAGCAATGGCCTGGTCAGCTCCTGCTTGAGGGCCAGGGGTGGGGTCTCTGACTAGAAGAGCATTGGCCGGTCTTCTTGCCCTTAAAGAACAGTGCTTGAGACTCATCTATGCTATTGCTTGGAATATACCCCAGAAAATGAGAACTGAGGCTCAGAGACTTGGAAATCAGTGTTCACAGCAGCATTATTGGCCATCACAAAAACATGGCACCAGCTCAGATGTCCAACCACAAATGAATGGACTGAGGAGTTGTGTTACATTCACACAACAGAATACTACACAGCACAGAGAAGAGTGATTTTATAAATTGCTACGTAACTTGGGAGGGACTGGAGAGCATTACGCTGAGTGAACTAACTCCATCCCACGAGGACAAATACTGTATAGAATCATTATCGTAGAACGAGTATGAAAATCTGAGGGGGGCGGGTGAAAGCAGAAAAGTGAGGAGGGGGTGTTGTTAATCCCAGGGTTGTACAATTCAGTGGGTAGAGGAAAAAGGAAATGGGAAGTAAGTTATCTTTTGTGTAAAACAGTGTATTCAAACTTTGTATATAAATCAGAATATAATTTTTTAAAAAACCAATGATCAATAGTAAATGATAATTTAAAATACAATGTGTAAGGCAAAAAAAATCCAAAGAACAGTTGCTTGCTTTGATTCCTAGTTATTAAAGTCACACATATCACGTTAAGAAGAGTACTGAATGGACAGCTATAAAAAACTGATTTTTCCTGGTGAGGGTGAAGCCAGGCTGCTCCTTGGGGGCAAGGATTATGAAACTTCATCTGACACACTTTGGACATGCTGCAAGGAGGGACCAATTGGTCCCTGGAGATGGACATCATGTTTGGGAGAGTAGAGGGACAGCGCAGGAGAAGAAGATCTTCGCTGAGATGAATTGATTCAATGACTGGGGTAATGGGGGTAGATGTGTCAGAGACAATAAAGTTGGCACAGAACAGAGCAGGGTTCAGAGCAGGGTACACAGGGTCGCTATGAGTCACGAGTAACTCAACAGGACATAACAACGTTGTGTGAAGACATTCCATAAGGCAGAAATATGCTATTTTTCACAACTTCTCTACTTGCAATACAAAGGCAAGGGGTTCGAATCCACTAGCTGCTGTCCCA